TTTCAAACGTAGAGAGCCACATTTAGCAAACCACTCGCCCTCCGCCTGTGAAACTGTTGCCAATGCTTAAGCTTCAGGGTCAGACAAAGGTGAGGAAGTCTCAGGCGCAACGCTCGGCCCGCCCTGAAAACTGGCCTCGGGGGTTCGACAGGGAGAAGTTATTTGTTATCTATGAGGAGAAAGGATGGAGGGGGAGGGGGAGGGGGAGGGGGAGGAGGAGGCGGGGGTGGGGGAGGGGGAGGGGAGGGGGGGGAGGAGAGGGAGCGGGGGCGGGAGCGGGGGCGGGGACGGGGGCGGGGGCGGGGACGGGGGCGGGGGAGGGAGAGGGGAAGGTGGATGGGGGAAAGGTGGGGAGGAGGAGGAGGAGGAGGAGGAGGAGGAGGAGGAGGAGGAGGAGGAGGAGTCGGAGGGGAGCAGGAGGAGGAGGAGGAGGAGGAGGAGGAGGAGGTGGAGGTGGAGGAGGAGGGGGAGGAGGAGGAGGAGGAGGAGCGGGAGAAGGATGAGGAGGAGGAGGAGGAGGAGGAGGAGCAGGAGGAGGAGAGGAGGAGGAGGAGGAGGAGGAGGAGGAGGAGGAGGAGGAGGAGGAGGAGGAAGAATAGGACGGAGGAGGAGGAGGAGGAGGGAGGAGGAGGGGGAAGGAGGAGGAGGAGGGAGGAGAGGAGGAGGAGAGGGAGGAGGCAGGAGGAGGAGGAGGAGGAGGAGGAGGAGGAGGAGGAGGAGGAGGAGGAGGAGGAGGAGGGGAGGGGGAGGAGGAGGAGGAGGAGGAGGAGGAGGAGGAGGAGGAGGGGGAGGAGGAGGTTTGAGAGCGGGAGGATGGGAGGGAGGAAGAGAGGGAGGGAGGGGAGGGAGGGAGGGAGGGCGGGAGGAGGAGGAGGAGGCGGAGGAGGAGGAGGAGGAGGAGGAGGAGGAGGAAGAACACGCCCTCCCGTGCCCGCCGCCTTTCGGCGGCGGGCACGGGACGGGGGCGGGGCGGCAGAGGTTGGCGGCGCGCAGGAGGCGGGAGTACAGGGGAAGGGGAGGACGCTTCCTGGAGGCACCCCTGCTTCTGGGACTGCGCGGGCCCTGTTTGTTTTACATGCCAGACCCGCGGTGTTTAAGGAGCAGTCTCCTTCTGAGAAGCTTTCCCCCCTCCCACCGACCCCCCCCCCTCCTGCGCGCCGCCAAAGAAAGGGGGGGCTCCAGGCCGAGGGGGCGGCGCGTTCCCCAGAGATCCTCTGGCGCGTCACGACCGTTCCCCCCCCGGGCGAACAGTATCCATCGGTCGTTTTTGGGGATTCGCGTGTTCCAATCTACTATGTGCGCCGTCATACTTCAAGTTCGAGTGGCTTCACCTTTTCCATCCTCCCAAGGGGGCAGACGGAACCCAATGTCTTATACGACCACCCTTCGGGTGATAAGGAGGTTGTGGAGGGGGGGAGAGGGGGGGAACCAACATCTAACTCAATCGATGCCACGATCGATCTCAACGGGACACCCACCACGTACACTTGTCCATCTCACTATCGATCTCACTATCGATCTCGATCTCACTAACGATCTCATTATCGATCTCACTATCGATCTCACTCAACGGGACACCAGAGGACACCACGGGACACCTCGGGACACCACATCGATCTCACTATCGATCTCACTATCGATCTCACTCAACGGGACACCACGGGGCAACTGTCGATCCCACTTTTTGGGACACCACGGGACACCAGGGGGCACCGCATCGATGTCAATATCGATCTCACTATCTATCTGACTCAACGGGACACCTCGGGACACCACGGGTCACCACGGGACACTTGTCGATCTCACTATTGATCTCATTATCGATCTCGATCTCACTATCGATCTCACTATCGATCTCACTATCGATCTCACTCATCGGGACACCACGGGACACCACGGGACACCGTAGGACACCGCGGGACACCGCTGGACGCGCGGGTGGGAGAGAATCATTTGTCTTGACTCCGCCGTAGCAACGGCGGATTCATTCCTCTTCGCGCGCCCACGTAGCTTCAACGAAGCCCCTCTCCATGCACGGCAGATTTCGACCTGGTCGATCGACCCGGTTCGATTTTGGTACTCCGACGATCCAGTATTGCCTGATGTTCGCATGGCGCTGTTGTGCATCCCGGTGCGGCCGCTCCGATCCGATGCCAGTCACGTGCCCATGCGGCAGGCGGACCCGATGCATCTTCTGGCGTCGGTCCGGCTTCCAGATTCGATGCTGACCAACGTTGCCCTGCCTAATCTGAGGGCATCCCCCCGTCTCAGTTTCTTTTAAGCCCATCCGTTCCTTCTCCCCATCCCCAGCCCGACGATCTCGGCACCCCAGTTGGGGGTGCACCCCTCGAAACCCGAGCGGAACAGCCCACACCCCCATCCAAGGGGGGGAACGGCGGCCAGTGGGGCCCAGGCCACGCCAGTGGGGAATAGGCATCGGTGAGACGATGCGCGCCTTCGCTAGGCCGTGTTTCCCTACGCCGACGTCGCCGATGCATCGCCGACGTCATCGCCGACGTCATCGCCGATTCATCGCCGATGCATCGGCGATGCGTGGGCGATGCGGCGTGACCCTCCGACCCCATCTGCTCGGACCCCATCTGGGAGGCCTCGACCTTCGCCACCGTCTGCGGGCCGCCGGGTCTCGCCCCCGTCGCCGTCGGCGGCCCCGTCGCGGCAGCAGCCAGCGGGCGCCGGCTGCGCCATCGAGCCGCGCGCGGGCCCCCGCCGGCAGGGCCCGCGCGGCGGCGCGCCCAGGCGCGTGCTCGCGCCGTCCGCGGGCGACTGAGCACTCGCCGCGCCGCCGTTGAGGAACGATGCAGCATACGCCCGTGGTGACGGGGAGTCGTCCAGGAGTGCCGACGCGTTGGGGGGCGCACCCTGGGCCCGCTGGAAGCGGGTCGGCTCCCCGGAGTACCCTGCGTGGCGGGGTTGGTCCCCTTTCCTCTCCTTGCGCGTTGTCACCGACGGGGCCAGGCGCATACGTCGCGTGGGCTCCCTGACCTTGGTGATGACGTCTGTGTGAGGCCTGGGGCCAGGTAGCCTCTGCCTGCCCTGCCCGCCAGAGGCGATCCCCGCCGCACAGAAACCCTGATTATTCTTCGTATGCTACTTCTTCTTCGTATTTGTCTTGGTCTGCTTCTTCTTCTTCTTCTTCGTATTGTTACGTCCCTGGATATTACGATTCTTATGTTTTTATTTTTATGTTGGACTTCGTCACGCGCGGCATGCCGTCTCACGCATGCGAAGTGCTGCAGCCCCGCCTTCGTCTTGTATTTCGCGTCCTTCACGCGCTCCAACAAACGAGTTTCCGTTTTGCCTGCTTTCTTCATGTGTACCCGAGACGGGGGCTGAGGCGGCTTCGCTTCCAACGCCGCCGTGAAGGTTGCCGCCGACCTGCTTCGGAACATGCCGCAATCCCTTCGGCATAGCGCACCTTCCTCGCGATGGCGATCGTGGCTCGGGGAAGCGTCGGATGCGAATTTTGCCAGGACTCGGGATTGCCGCTGCTTTGAACCGTCCCAGCATGGATTCTGAAGGTCCAGTTTTCCATGGAGTGTTGCAGTGGCAGTTCGCGTACAATTTCATACCAGGTCCCACAGTTGTTTTGACGGCCCCGCGACGGAAGTCCGAACCCCAATAGGTCGAGTCCGACGTATTCCCGATACGTGAATGTTGTGGTGACGTTCGCCATGACAATGATGGGGAAACGGAGCTGGAGGACCAGGAGGAGGAGGAGGAGGAGGAGGAGGAGGAACGGGCGGCGGCGCAGGAGAGCGACACCCTGAAGGAGGGATGACGCAGGTGGAGGAGGCGGAGCCGCCGGAGGAGGACGGGGAGATGAGGAGGGGGAGGAGGATCAGGAAAGGCAAGGAGGAACACCAGCAGGAGGACCCGCTGGAGTGGAGCTACCACGACAGCAGTTGGATCTCTCGGAGCGCGGGCGCGGGAAAGATTCTTCAGGTCGGGAAGCCAGGGGGCAGGAAGATCGGGAGAGACGGCAGTGTCCAGCCTCCTCCTCTTCCTTCTCCTTCACCCCCATATCTCTCCCTCCTCCCACCCCATTCCTTCCCCACCCCACAATCCTCCCTCGTCCCTCTTTATTTTCTGTTTCAACCTCTTCCTTCGTCTTCTCCTTCTCCCTCCACGCGCCTTGAGCGAACGCCCACCCAGAGAAGTCGGCAGGACATCTGCACAGGTTCACTCGACATCGCCACTCGAGTGTGCCGATGCAGTCCCCAATCGGTTTCCATAACCAACGTTTTTTGCGGGATACGCGCGTACGTTTGTGGACGTCGATTGGCTTTCCCGCTCGATTGCGGTGCCGTGCGCATGTGGAGTGTTCTTGGAAGCTTCCACTACAGGGCGTTTTGCTAAACGGTTGCTCTGTCAGTTCTCGACGTCTCATTCCTCCTCATCCTCCCTATCTCCTTTCCCAGCCGCTTCTGGGATCCCACCAACACCATGCAGCATCCGTGTACAGTGCCGCACCTTTCTCCATACTGCATACCTCCTGGCTTGCCCCGACTCGGTCTCGGGGCGGGACGCTGAGGACGCACTCGACCTTTGGGGCCCACAGGGTCTTGTCTCAGACTAGCCCTGTCGTGGGGAAACCAAAAGTTACCGATACTGCTAATCCCCAGACCTCTCCCGGGGTTTGTTCTGACCAGAATTCCGCGGCGAATCCAGCGGTGGCGACGAGGGGCTCCAGTGAGGCCCAAAAAGATGAAAACGGGCGAAGGGTCGCGGCATGAGTACCTTTTTTCTCCTCCGATGTCCAATCCATGCTCGCTGCTGGAGGCGGACCGTCCTTCCCATATTTGGAGCGAGATCCACAAAGATAGCATCGGACTGGCGTGCACCTGCACCTCCTCCCCATCCCTCCCCTCCCTCCCTCATTCCTCCTCCTCCCCTCCCTCCCTCCTCCCCTCCCCTCCTCCCCCCCCCCTACTCCCCTCCCCCCTCCTCGCCGCGCCCCTGCTGCGCGCCGGGCGCGCGAGGTGCAGCGCGTCGGAGGGCCGGAGAAGAAAGAGGGAGAAGAAGCAGGCGAAGGAGGCGGCGGATGCCAAGGAGGCTCCAGCCCAGCGGGCCACGGCAGCGGCAGGGCGTGGTCTGTTGCCCGCTCCACTCGGCAGTGCTCCTGCGGGTCTGGCGCCGTTTCTCTTGCCCCCCTGTTTCGCTGCCGTTTCTGTCTCAGGTTCCATCCTCAGGTTCTCCCCGGTGCACTTGTTTTTACAGCTTACAGGGAGCTGTTCTGTTACCGGCTTCGCGTTCCTGAGGGCTCTTGCCCAACTGAACAGCAACAAAAAACGCGCTGCCGTTTCCAGGGCTCGCGTCATGGAACAGAAACATCAACGGATTGGTCATTATTTCCGGTCCCCGAGGGTCTTCGCCTGGCCCCAGGACCGTCAACAAAAATTGGCCTCGGGAGGGCTTTAGTTATTGCTCCCCCCCTGTTTCTCCTGGCGGGGGATAAAATCGCCCCCTCCTCCTGCTCCTCCTCCTCCTGCTCCTCCTCCTTCTCTTCCTCCGTCTCCTCCTCCTCCCTCCTCCTTCTTCTCCTTCTCCTCGTTCTCCTCCCGCTTCTCCTCATCTCATTCCGAAGGAGGATGAGTTGGAGAAATATGTTTGTTCCACTATTAGGGGCACAGTCCACCAGTAAGGTCGCCGAAAAGATAACTTGTTTCCAAGTACTGGGGAGGGTGTGAAGACCTATCGCGGTTACCCAGGATGAAGCCTCAGCTTTGGGGAAAGCGCCTGGTTTTCCAGGGGCCTGCATTGCAAACGGTTTCGGAGTTCTGGGTCAACGGTTTCGTCAAGATCGGTTCCTGGACCCTCCTGGCACGTGGGGTCGTAGGTGGCGGTTTCTCTTCAGATTCAGGCTATTTACTTTTGTGGCATTCTCCCCCCCTTCCTCCGCCGCCTGGTCGAACAGCGCCGGGCCGAAAAAAGGCGTGCCATGCGACTCCAGGCTTGCGTGAAGTTTAGATGTTCTTTCGGGCCTCACCACGCCCCTTCCCTTCTGTGCATGCCAACTCGCTGGAGTATGCAGCTAAACAACCATGTTCTAGAAGTGGGCGTCTGGAAGGAGGGTCCTGCTCCGACCCAGGAGGGAGGGGCACGGGTCCTGGAGGAGGTCGGTCGCTTTCGGGCGCCTTGGGCCTCCCATCCCCAGGCCCCTGGGCCGGGACACGCGGGTCGGGGTGACAAGCTGGCCCCGCTGGAAGGCCTCGGGAGCCAGGACCCGTTCCCCTCAGGGGCCGCGTCTTTCATGCACCCATAAAATTGCACACGTGAACGTAAGCAGTGGAGGCGCGCCAGAAACGGCCTGACCTTCGAGGATCGAAGCAGCTGTCACCTCTTCCTCGGCGGAAGGCGGCGGAGGAGCGGCGGAAGGCCGGCGGAAAAACAACGAGGTCGTTTCCGCCGGCGGAAGCTGGTGGAAGGCGGCCGAAGAAAAAGATGCGCCCCCAAGGGAGAACAACGTTTTTGGGTTCAGGGTTTCCAGAGTCGCCCATATGTTGATGGAGTTTCGTCCGGGTCGCTTGGGTCCGACCTGGAGACTCCTCGCGGCGACTCTGGCGCCGCCCCCTGGCGCGCGTCGCGCGCCAGGGAAGGTGGGTCCGGCGCCGACCTGAGAATGAATGCGTGGACCTCCGACTGATTATGATCACTCAGTTCAAGTGATTCCGTCGCGTCCTACGTATACGGTTTCATGGTATCAGTCTACGATGTGCTATATACGGTGCCTTCGATTTGATCAACCATCATGTGGTCTTGGGTTCTCGTTTTGAAGAGACAGCGCCCCGCGTTTTTTCTTCCTTCCTCCTTCCTCCTTCCTTCCTCCTCCCCCTCCGCCTCCCCCTCCTCCCTCCTCCCATCCTTGTCTTTGTCACCCGCACCCAGCGCAGCGATTTGTGGCCCCATGGGGAGCTCCACCAAATCCCAGTGGCTCAGCCCGCATGCGTCTCCCACTATAGGCACACCCCTCAAACGTTCCGTGGCCCCATTGGGAGCTCCACCGAAGGTCTCGGTGGCGCAGCCAGCATGCGTCACCCACATCCATCTCGGCACACCCCTCACACGATTCGTGGCCCCATGGGGAGCTCCATAGAAGGTCCCAGTGGAGCAGCCCCGATGCGTCATCCACAGTCATTCCGGCACACCCTCACACGTTTCGTGGCCCCATAGGGAGCTCCACCGAAGGCCCCAGTGGCGCAGCCCGACTGCGTCACCCACAGTCATTTCGGCACACCTCTCACACGTTTCGTGGCCCCATAGTTGGCTCCACCAAAGGTCCCAGTGGCGCAGCCCGCATGCGTCACCCACGCCAAGTTCGACACACTCCTCAAATCGTGGCCCCATAGCCGGCTCTGGCGAAGGTCCCAGTGGCGCAGCCCGCATGCGTCTCCCGCACTCATTTCGGCACACTTCTCAAAAACGTTTCGTGGCCCCACAGGGAGCTCCACCGAAGGTCTCGGTGGCGCAGCCCGCATGCGTCATCCACAGTCATTCCGGCACACCCCTCACACGATTCGTGGCCCCATAGGGAGCTCCATAGAAGGTCCCAGTGGCGCAGCCCGCATGCGTCACCCACAACTATTTCGGCGCCCCCTCACGTTTCGTGGCCCCATAGGGAGCTCCACCGAGGGCCCCAGTGGCGCGGCCCGCATGTGTCTCCCACGCCAATTTCGTCACACCCCTAATTGGCACGTTCCGTGGCCCCACAGGGAGCTCCACCGAAGGCCCCAGTGGCGCAGCCCGCATGCGTCCCCTCTATCCATTTTGCCCCACCCTTCGCATGTTTCGTGGCCCCATTGGGAGCTCCATCGAAGGTCCCAGTGGCGCAGCCCGCATACGTCCCCGCCACCAATTTCGAGACCCCCCTCACACGTTTCGTGGCCCCACTGGGATCTCCAGCGAAGGTCCCCTCTCGCCACCCACGACGGCGCACCCCTCACACGTTTCGTGGCCCCATAGCCGGCTCCGCCGAAGGTCCATTGGCGCAGCCCGCATGCGTCACCCACGCCCATTTCGGCACACCCCTCACACGTGTCGTGGCCCCATAGGGAGCTCCACCAAAGACCAGAACGGCGCCGTCCACATGCGTCCCCGCCTGTCATTTCAGCACACCCCTCACACGTTTCGGGCCCCCGTAAAAAGTTCCACCAAAGGGTCCACCGTCCTCGTGCGCCTCCCTCACTCCCAGCACACTCACAACTGCGGTACCCACAAATGCATACCGCCTCGTCCTTTTGGATATCCGTAATCGACTCCTGGCACTCAGGTTCACTCTTGTTCAAGTTCACCCATATCCAGTACGCTCACTCATACTTAGAGTCACCGTTTGCAGATCATTATACTCAGATCGATTGTATTTCAACTCACTCGCCTTCAGACTCGAGTTCAACCAGATCTCTTTTAATATGATCATTCTCACTCATATTGTCTCATGCTCAGCCTCACGCCTAGTCAGACTTGGCATTCTCAAAACTTACCCTGACTCGCTCACACGCAGACTATCTCACACATATTCGCTCGACCCCTGACTCAATCACAACTTGATCAATACATGCTCAGACCAACTTATACACAGACTCCCTCATGCACTGACTCACTCATACTGAGACCCTCTCAAATGAAGTTTCACTCACACTCTGGCCCTCACATAAGCAGTCTCACGCATACGAAGCCTCACTCATGCTCATGATCTTCGTGGTGTATCAGACGTGACACTGTGGCCCCCCAAATTAGTTTTGATCAGGGGTGTTCCGCGGGCCCTGACGCCCAGATTGCCAGGACCATTCAAGCAAACTCGTGGCTTGTTTTGGGGGGCGGGATAAGCGTCTCCATTGTCAGGGCTAGGATGTAGCAGGTATGACACTTGGGCACCCTGGGGGGTCCGAAGTGCCATGCCTTCTGTACCGCGGTGTTGTGTCGTTGCTGCGTCGATGCGCCCTCTTGAGACGGGTTAAGACCTGTCGTCTTTGATCGGTTTCGGCTTCCTTGTTGCTTTGGTTGGTTTTCGGTTGCTCTCTTGCCGTGGACGGCCCTGAACAGTTTTTGTTCGCTAAGCTTGTTATCCCTCGACGGTGCAAAGGCCAAGCAGAAAGATGCCAGCAAGGATGCCAGGGAGGCGAAGGAGGCGAAGGAGCCCTCCGCTCCTCCGCCGGCCTGCGCTGGGCGCCCTGGAAGGGAGCTGTGGCTTGGCCTTCGGGGGTCGTCTTGTTGGGGGGATCGCTCACCCTCCTTTGCTTGGCCAACTTCAGAGGGCCTCGTCTGTCCCACAAGTTGCGGTCCTGCTGGTGCCGGCCGTATGCGCGACGCAAGTCCGGCGTGGCTTCGACGTGGGTGCATGGATTTCGACGCGGTGTTGACGCGAATTGCGATTCGATGGGACAGAAAGGTTCCACGAATGTGCTGGAGGAGGAGGGAGAGCGGGAGTAGCCAGGAGGGGAGGAGGAGGAGGAAGGAGGATCACTTTAAACCGAAGATTCATCAACGATGTTGCAAGAAACCCTCCCTCCTCCAAGTTCCCTCTTCATCATATGTTCTTTCCCCAAATATGTTCATTGTGAGAAGCGCCTCGTTGAAAGGCAGCTTCCCTAAAATCCTTAATCATGCAAAGAGGCATCATCTGGGACCTCGCCGCCGCGAACTACCATGACGGTTGCGTCCTGAACGCCATCCTTGGGATTTCAAAGCCACGAATTGACGCGATAGCTGCGTCTGCTTAGTCTGGAAATGCTCCAGACCGCCATTCCTGAGACTTGCACCCGACGCATCCCTGAAGCTGTTGCGCGCGTGGAGGGGAGCGCGCGCGGCGCTCAGGCGAGAGCCACGCTGCGAAACGGAACCGCCGTCCACCCTCGAAGCTGTGGCGACATTTCAAGACGTGTGTGCGCGACGCAAAGGCGAGCGCCACGTGTTGAATAGGAACCGCCCCCCCTGTGTTCGAAACGGTTGCAGACTGGCAAGACGAATGTGCACTTTTGCAAAACTGAGCGCCGCATGTCGAGAACCAGTCCCTCTCCATCTTTGAAATTCAGCTGCAATGTTTTGAGACGACTCTGCGCGTCGCTAAGGGGAAAGCCAAAGTTTACAGAAGGACCCGCTCTCCATGTTTGAAACTGCTGCAACCTGTTTCAGACGCACCTGCGCGGCCTACTGCGAGAGCCGCATTTAGAAAAGGACCCGCCGTCCGTCCTTACATTTGCGTCAACTATCAAGCTGTAGGATCATACATGGTGAGGAAGTCTCAGGCTAAACGCCCCACTCACCCTCATCGTCGTCGTCGTGGTTGGTGATGCGCTCCTGCTGTCTCCTCTGCGTCGTTCTCCTTCTCGCCCCGGCGCAGGCCCCAAAGTGACAACAGTTACAGGGTTCGGATGACCCGCTCAGATTAACAAATCGACCCGCGGGCCCCATAGGGAGTAGGGCTCCCGCCAGAAGCTTCTTCGCATTTCACTCACACGGCCGAGGCTCTCTCACCAGACTTTCTCCAGATTCAGGGCTGAGGGGTCCGGAAGTGACGACAGCTACAGGGTTCGGATGACCCGCTCGGATCAGTAACATGATCTTCGGGCCCCATGGGGAGGGGGCCTCCCGCCAGACACTTTCTTGCAATTCACTCAATTTCGGGGCTCAGGTCCGAGACTTCCTTAAGATGAACGTATGCGTATGCGTGCGATTATGATGTTTAGGGAGATGCTGATGTGACGGTGACGTTGGTGATGACAAGATGGTGAGATTGGGCGGGATGTTGATTATGATGATGGTGATGCTGAGGTTGCGTTGAATGGGCGAGAGGTAGATCGTGTGCGGTGACTGTGTGACTGAAGATGCTGGTGTGAGTGATTGAGTGAATGATGATGTTGTAAGTGGGTGATTATGAGGAGGCTGGTGCTGTTATGATGATGGTGGTGTGGTGTAGAGGGGGGGACGATACGTACTGCGCGGGATGCCCAGGCAAAATAAAACACCAAGAACTCCAATTAGGATGTGGGGTCAATCCCAAGGACCATCAATGAGTGAGGCCTCGTCGGGCATTTCTGGAGGACTTCTTGGGGGCTTCCTAGGCCGTCTTGAAGTCATCTTGGGGGCTGCCGGGCCATCCTGGGCCATGTGGGAGCTATCTTAGGCCGTATGGAGGTCATCTTGGGCCGCCCTGGGGATACATCTCGGCCATCTTGGGCTCTCTCGGGACCTTCTTGCTTGACCGTCTTGGAGGCGTCTTAGGACCATCTAAGAGGCCATCTGGGGCAATGTTGGCCGTCTTGGACGCGATTTGGGCAACGGGATCTGGATGTAGAGGAGCTTTCTGGGTGGCCTGCGGTTTGGGCCGAAGCCCAGGTGGGAGACTAAAAGAACCAACCGCCACCCGAAGTTCAGCACGCCGTGCATCCCCGTGGCAAGCCACAGGGGGCGGCGGATCGAAGACGCCTGCGGCGAATCACCGCCGCTCCCTGCCTTTCGAAAGAGCCTATGTGGCCGAACGTTGCGGCCAGCCAGAGCTCGACCAAGCTATTGGACCATGTGTTCCCCCAGCCGTTTTGAGAACACATCGGGGACCACGAGGGGGAGAACGAAAGAGGAGGAGTGGGAGAAACATGGAGGAGGAGGAAAAGGAGGGAGAGGCCTCTTGGGATCCTTTTGGGGCACTCTTGTGGCCTCCTGGGGACCTTGACGGTCGTTGTGCCTTCCTAGGGCGTTTTGAAGGCCTTTGTAGGTTCATTGCGAGGTTCTCTGGCCATCTGAGGAGGACGTTCCTGGCCTGTCTGACGCCGTCGGAAGCCATCCTGCGGACCTCTCCTGGCAGTCTTGGGGCCCTGTCGGGGCTATGCAGGACCGTCTTGCAGGGGCGATCAACGGGAGGGTGGTGAGGGCTGCCGAACAGGGGCCCTGTAGGGCCCCCGAAGAGTCCATGAGGGCCCCTGAAGGAGCCCTTTGGGGACCAAAGGGGAGGCCTTCAGGGCCCCAGATGGGGCACCTTTTTTCCGAGGCCCGAAAACCATCGCGTCACTAATTTTGGGCCCCAGGGCCCACTGAGGCCCCAGGGGCCCCAGATTAGTGAAGTGGTGTTTTTTTTCCCACGTAAGAACCCCGAAATTCACCACTTCACTCAACCGAGCCCTGGGCAAACGTCAGGGGCCGAATTGCTGCTGTGATGCAGCATAGGTCTCGTACTTTTTTCGCCTCTATCTGCCGCTCCCCACCGCTTCGCGCCCCAGAAGGACACCCGGGACGGCAGGGCGCGCAAGACCGCCGAGGAGGCCAAGGTGCCCAAGGAGTCGAAGCAGTCCAGGGATTCCAAGAGCGCGAAGGGCTCCACGGATGGCAAGGACTCGAAGGGTGCAGCCGAGGCGCCCCGATTCTGGTCGCACACGCGCCGGTTGGTTTCCCGTCCGTCTCCGTGCGCCGCGGAGACAAGCCAGGGTGTACCCCCGACGGACCCCATGACCAGGGCCAGCTACTACTACCAGCACCCGTACGATATCTAT